CCTTATTTATTGATAACTTACCCATACGATCAGCCAGTTCTTCATCAGAGTTGACTTCAATATTTTTCTTTGATTGCACTGGCTTTGCCGAAAACATATCTGACACTTTTTTATAAAGATCATTAGCTAAAGATTCTATAATTTGGCTGGCTGAAGGAGTTGGGTTTATAAGATCACAATGAATAAATTTTTCAGAATTTACACCATACCCATCTGGTGGTCTTTCTGGCATATATTTATCTGGTACTCTAAGGTAGTCACTAAAATCGGGTTGCTTTTGCTGAGACTGTAAAGCTTGTGTTTTTTGGTGCTGTAAAGACTGAATAGAAGTTGTTGGTACTAAAGCTAATTGTGATTTTATCATACTATCTAGTTCAGCTCGAGATATACCACTACTATCAGAATGTGATTTATTTTGTATATTAACAGTTGGAGTTTGAGAGATTTGGTCAGGAATAGAGCCTTTATACAAATTCGGAGAACGTTCTAACCACATATTTTTAAGTTCTGTAAAAAATACATTAATGCCAAGAGGATTAGCAATTTTCATCCAAGTATAAAGCTCTCCCGATAAATGGCCCTTAAGAAGTCCTAAGATATTGGCATCACCATCAGCAACTCCTAATAAAAGAGGACAGATTCTAGCCTCATATGATTCTGGATTATCAAATGGTAAGAATTTTTCTTGTGCTAATCTTTGAGTAGCAACTTGTTGTGTTCCAACTGTCTTTGTCTGATATTTATGACGTAACCAAACAATAAAACGAGCTGGAGTATCAATATTTGTATCTACGGGGTATTGTGCAGGTATATTTATATATTTTCCAGTCATCTTACTTTTTAAAATATCTGCTCGAAGTGCATTATTAAAGGCGCTTGCCATAATTGATAGTAAAGTTAATATTTGATTAATTCTTTGATACCATTCATCTGGTTGAATTTGTCCACTATAATTTGGAATCTCTGCAATTAATAGTGCAATACTGGTTAAGTCTCCCGAAACTGTAGCCATATTTGGTGGATTATTATGTAACAATAAAATTTGTGCTTGTAAATTATTTATTAATTGTTCAAAATTTCGAGCACGATTTTTCCACTTACCCCACTTATTGTCCAGTTGAACATCGGCAAGTAATAAATCATTTTCTAGAGTCTTGCATTTATTTTTCCATTTGCTGTATCGATTTTTTGTAAGATTTAAGAGGTACGTAGTAATTGCTTCATCTGTCTTATATTCTTGTAGTTGCTGTTGTGTTCGTCTATTCTTAAATCCCAATGCAAATTTTTCTAGAAGCAATTTTGATATTTGTCTTTTTTGCATACGGATTGTAATTCGACCATCAAGTTCTCGAGATTTAAATATACTGTGTTGTGTTCTGTGGGCCTCGTAAGCCTGATGGAGAAGATCATAGTCATTTTGAATAGTGGCTAACTGAGTTTGTGAATTAGCTAACTGAGCTTGCAAATTTGTTAGCTAGGTTTGCAAATCTGCTACTCGGTTTTCAGCATTAATTGCACGAGCATTTGCCCGTGGAAATATTTCTAATACTAATCTTTCGAACCTATTTCCAGCATCAGAAATTATGTTAAGATAATCTACAATACCATTTATTGTAGGTGTTATTGTAATTGGGCTTTGAAAATACTGTCTAATATTATTAATCTCTCGCTGAATTCTATTATTTTGAATCGTAGCTTGATTTTCAGGTAGAGATAATCTAGGCGATCCTGGTTGAGCCATATCTATAGTATCATAGGAATTTTTATGCGAAATAAGTATTTTTTCATTAAGTTTATCAATTTTATCTTGAAAAATTACTAACTGTTGTTCTAAATAATCAACATAATTCTCTCGACTTTCAGAATCTCGAAGTGCTTTTTCTAATTGTTCTTTAATATCTGAAATTTCCTGTCGTAATGGATCCAGTTCTCCATCTCGAATCAAAATTTCATTTTCGAGATATTTAATGTAACTCTCTTTTAAGTCTAGATCCCATTGTAATTTACAGAATCGATTTTTTATTATCTGCAAACTAGCTTCGAATTTTTTGATTGTTTCACTAGGTAGAGACACTATTGTATCTGATGGCATTATACAAGCCTATAATATATCGACGCTTCTGGAAATTTTGTCAAATAATAATTTATTGATATAGTAAAATGCATTAAAAATGGACCAACCTAGTATTACTATAGATCCTGATGAGGAATTGGCCCTAGTTTGCCAGTTAATTTATTATAACTCAACCGGTTACCATTCCAATGCTCGAAAATTATATAAAGCTATCAAAGATGAGGGGTACAGTTTTCCATACAAAAAAATTCGTGATTGGTTGCATAATCAAAGTAGCTGGCAAATATATGCACCGCCTCCAAAAAATATTACTAGAGCTAGTTATGGACGGATATCGCGTCCAAATTGTGTACATCAAGCCGATATATTATTTCTCACGCATGATAAATACCGAGGAAAAACATACAAAGCAGTGTTAAATATAGTGGATTGTGCATCGAGATATAAGGCTTCAGTCCCTCTTACATCAAAAAAAAGCTCAGAAGTTGCTAAAGCATTCAAGAAAATTTATAATAATTCATCGAATCCACTAACCTGGCCTAAATTATTAACTGTCGATGGCGGTCGTGAATATATGGCTGAAACGGCTCAAATATTGCGAGAACATAAAGTAATAATTCGAGTAATTGGAGCATATAGCCATCGAGGGCTTGCAATTGTAGATAGATTCTGTAAAACCCTTGCAGAAATGCTTTACAGGGTGCAATATGCTGTCGAATCAATATCTTCAGATCCTAAATTAATAAGAGCATGGGTCAAATATTTGCCAGAAGTTATTGATTATCTAAATAATTATTCAACACGTCTCATTCGGGCTCCAGGTTCCTCAAAGTGGGGATTAGCTCCTTCAAAGGCCATCAAGCTAGAAAAAGTCGAATCCAAACCATCAATATCACGAAAGCGGGCTATAGGAAAAGATGAGGAAAAATTGAAGAAAGATGATATGGTTCGCTATCTTCTTGCAGATGGAGAATGGGAAGGTTCTCCTGGCTTAGAGCAACGAAAGGCCACCGACCCCATATATAGTCCAACTTTATTTAAAATTGGAAAAATTGTTGTAACGAAGAATGAACCAGTTTTATATTACTTAAGCAGTGATGATGAGTATTCTCCAACACGTGGATTTGTACGTGAAGAATTAATGCTAATTGATCTGGAAAAACTTCAGTATCCGCCTCAGAGTATATTGGAAGATAATACTCGTTCCAGGTCTGTTAATTTCATTCGTATTATTAATAAAATGGCTAAGGCTAAAGAATATGCAAAGAAGCGTGACGGAAAATGTCTTGGTAAAACTGGCCAAATAAATGATTTCGATGTATATCTTTGGTCTTGCGAAAAAGGACTCCATCAGTTTGAGTATCCATTTCCATTAATCGCGAGAAAGTTTGAATGGTGTCCCCTTTGTTTTCACCATACCGATGAAAGACGTTGTAGATATATTTTTGAAGATCTGTTAGATAAGAAATTTCCATCTTGTAAACCATCATTTTTGAATGGGATGCAATTAGACGGGTATAACGAAGAGTTAAAATTGGCATATGAATACCAGGGAGTCCAACATTTTACTCTTAATCAAATGTTCCATAAACGAGGTAGGATAGACTTGGGACAACAAAAAATCAGAGATCAAAAAAAGCGGGATATATGCAGAGAGCAGGGCATAGATCTTATCTGTATCCCATTCGATTGTGATTTATTTCCGTACATAAAAAGCGAATTACAAGAGAGAGGTTATTTATCACATAAAAAATAAACTCATAAGATAGTGGAGCTAGTATCTAAAGATACATAAATATGGCACATAATAAACTTGACCCGTGTGAGATCTTTGTACTCAATATCGATGAGTATACAAACCCAGAACGTTTTAATGGTATTAACTCATGCCCTCAGTGGCCTTTCAATTTATTAGTCAGTGGGCGGACAAGATCGGGGAAAACAAACATGATTATTAGTCTTTTACTTGGGGATAAGATGTTTCGAATGTTTGGTGGGAAAAAGGGTGGAACACGCTATATTAAGAATGATGATTTGGTTTTGATCGGACATCATCTTAAGGAACCGAAATATAGGCATTTGCGCGATTGTTATAGCATTATTGCAAATAGTCCCAAACAATATCGTGAAGATATTACATTCCGAGCAATGAAACCCGATAAAATACCAAAGATAGAAGAATTCTCTCCTGAGAGAGGAACAGTTGTTATATTCGAAGATGTATGTACCGAACCTAAAAAAATACAAGAAAAAATTGCTCGTTACTTCACTGAAGGGCGGCACTCTAATATTAGTAGCATATATATTACACAATCCTTCTTCGACTGCCCAAAATTAATAAGAAAAAATCTCGATTATATTGTTCTCTTCAATGGTAGTGGCACATATGATGAACTAGCTAATATTGCTAGGCGGTACACAAAAAATTGGCGTAATGCCGTTGATATGCTTGATAACAATTTACAGGGTCGGGAATTTATTGTTATCGATTTAACTAGAGCTAAAGAAGACGCTCTTTATCTTCGCAAAGGATGGGATACCCCATTGAAATTAGATGAATAGAACGTGATTTTCAAAACAATAGAATAATAATTATTTTTTCGTTATGTGTTAGCATATTAATATAATACATCCTACTCGCCACTCTATTTTAAGAGCTGACCTTATCCAGCAGGTTTGTAGTTGAGGTGGATGTGAAAATAACGAACTTGATACATTATATACACTAGGAATTTTTGTGACCTATAAAAAAGACTTAACACGTAAAATCAAAGTAAAAAATGTTACCAGCTTTCCTTTAGGAAAGATAACGAAATAAAGTCTAAAGTACCAGCCCTCAGGGATACTTTAGGTGGTTTTATTTTAAATAGATATATATGAATAAGTTATATAATTAATAAATCGAATAAATAAATGTGTATGGGTATTAGATAAGTTGTGCATTATTAATTTGACGCATTTCTTCTCTAACTGCCCATAATAATTGGTAATGCTCAGCTAATTGCTTGGCCGTCATACCATCTGGTCGGTACATAAATTCAATCCATTTTCTTTGTATAGTTATACAAGCTTGAATTTTCTTACCAATTTTTCTGGCACGTTCAGCCTTTTTGGTAGCATTAGATTCCCATAATTTATAACGGTGTAATGCATACTCATTATCGTAATTATACCCTGAAATAGATTTTTTCTCGATTTTTAGTAAGTACTCATCATAACTTACTTCACAATAAGAATTTCCTGTACAATGAGAAGCCCAATGCCTTTCCATTCCTATGTGGTTATAATTTCCTATATTCTTCTTTCTTTGTCCAGTATATACTAACTGATCACAAGAGAAACATATTGCTATTCCGATTTCAGGAGCATATGAACCACTATTCGGCAATCGTATTAATCTCCTAGCTTCAAGGTATTTTTTACTTTCAATAGGTAATAGATCATTCTCCCTAAAATATTGTAAGCGAAGCCAAATCCGTTTCATCCACTCACTAGGAGTTTCATTAGTATGAACTTGAGGCATCTTTACATATTCACCACTAGTACATTCAGTACCATATGCATTGTAGTAACCTCGATTTGACATATTTATTGATTATATACTGTAGTTTATATCGATTTTAGTATTGTTGACCTATTATATACATATCTATAACAAGATTCAATTTTGTAGAATCCCGTTATATCATTTTTTACTAATTTTAATAGTATTTTGCTTTTCCACCGTAAAATCGGATTAAATTATATAATAGTATATATGTTTATGTTAATTTCGAGGTGGATACATTCAAACTATTTCTCATCTCGTAGCTCAGTGGACTAAACCGCGGGAAGCTCGTTCGGTCTTCCTCTCCTTACTACGTAGACAATTATAGTGACGATCACGCCCTCTAAAATTGGGTTTTTGTAAATGTGAAAAAACAAAGTCAGAGGCCCTATCGCTCAATAGAGACGAAATTTTTTGCATGACTACTAAAGAAATAAGAACAAAGAGTGAGGTGGATACATTCATATCGTTCACATGGTGTAGCCTGGTGGTTTAAAACCCGGGAAGTCTGTTGGACCTTCCTCCCCTTGCATACGCCCCATGTAGAAGAATGACGATCACGCCCTCAATAAAAGTGTTTTTATAAGTATAAGAAGACTATATTATAAGGATAGATAGATCGTGTATTTTTGCGGACCAGACAATCACCCTCACCTAAGTACTGGGCTACCTAAGGTAATTATGAGCCCGTTGAGTCTCACAACATGCATAGTCAGAGGCCCTATCGCTCAATATTAGAGACGAAGTTTTTTGCTTGACTAAGTATACCCGTACAAATAGCTCCAGCGACTATCTTATCAACAAAACTAGTGTAAGAGAGTAGAATATCGGTAAAAAATTTCAGAAAGAAAGCTAAAAAAAAAAGATTATATCGATATACATATTTATTTGAGCCTTATGCACGTAGCACTTAAGGAATGTTTCAAGTTGGTATTGTTACGTGGCTTGTTATATTTGGTGTTGTATTAATAGCCTCGATTATCCTTTTTTTAGATAATGGTATGTTTGTTTTTAAGGGGGCGGATTACCTGATAAGCCATAAATAGGACACTGTCGAATTTTCGATGTTCTATGCAGTATTAGATATCAAATGTTCGATCAACATACGATTACATCATACATGCAGAAGTTCCAAATCTACCTCTCTTTATATAGTTTCGGACGTAATACCAATTCGAGTTAACTGCTCTGTAGATGTAGTGAAGATACGATGAAGGTGCGATGTAGGTGCGATGTAGTCACGGTAAACTTTTTTTATATATAATTGTATAAGAAATAAGCGTATCCCTGTGTTATTTTTAACATAACCACGTATAAATTTGCGATGCACAAAAAATAAAGCTCGTGTTACATACTGATAAAAAAATCAACACTGCGTCTTTTTGTGATTTTTATATAATTAATTCGGTAAGGTATATCGATACAATTACTAAAAATAGTAATAATCAAATAATTGGGAGAATTAGAACGATAATGATAAGTAGCTATCGAATAAAATAGATAGGTGTATATTTCGTGTATTAGCGATAAGTATATATAGAACAAATATTTTCCTTTAATAAAGATAACTGGAGACTTGAGTTCATTGTTTCTAACAGTTTTGAGGTTAGAAAGTATCGTTCTCTGTTTTTCCTTTGTTAGTAAATCGTAATTTTACTTGTACCATTGATATTCATAAAAATCCTTATCACATTCATGACCCCGTAATTTTATTAGTTCCAAATCATTAGAGAAAGAGTGTAAATTTTATTAGTAATTGTGTTATGAATTATTTTTTATGATTAATTAAGTGATCGTTATTACCTTGTCGAATGTCTGATTGGTTCCGTTAACATGTGACACTATGAACTTCGTTCAGGATCTCGTACCCCAGCAAAGCGAAAGCTCGAATTAATAATATTAGAAGACTAGTACTAAATATTAATTACAAGTGAAAAGTACCATACCCGTAAATACAAGGCGAGAAATCCTTACTGCTCGTACCAATTCTTTCCACGCTTCAATCGAGTCTTGTTACAATAAAATCACACTAGATATTATATTAACTTCGACCTGTTCGTGTAACTACACGGGTTTATGAGCAAATTATTTTTTATTACTATCGCTATCGTTATTATAAGCATATATCACTTCAACAGCACTTCGGCAGTGGTTTAGAAAATTTTATATAGATTTATTAAGAAAAAGCCAACAGCACTTCAACAGTGGCTTAACTGCAGTTATCTAGAATTTAATACGTATCGTAAACACACGTGTGCACTATTTTAGCATAACACGTCGCTAGAAAAATAAAGTATTTATTGTATAATGCAACTTAACGGTCCGCTAAAATAGCGATCAGTTGATAAAAACTTGACCGGCTTTAATAATCAATGGCCTGCATTAAATTTTATGCGGTGTTACCTTAATTTCTCACGGTCGATTTTTGATTTATAACAAATATTACGAATGACTAGACCCCTTATATGTAATCCCGCGATAAGAAAAAGCGCAAATAGAACTTAAAAGGGCTATAATAGGGAAGAGTACAATGTTCTTTATTAGTGGCATTATCAAAATTCATATGTCGCGGGAACTTCGAATTCCCAGATCGCCGAGATCGTTGACTTTTTCACTTCGTAGTAGTGATCATTGAATCTAAGAGGGGTTTAATTTCACCAGAAAAGCGACAAAAATAGATTCAGTATTTGGAACTTATGACCGAATAGACTTGCTTTACATGGTGGGATCTAGAGTGCGTTACCCTATCGCAATTACTAATCGTGTAACTTTTTTTTCTGGCAGGTTCTCTAGATCTAACGAATGAACGGTATAAAAATAATCGGTTTTTTGTTTCTTGTAGGTGGGTTATAATAATATTTTTTGCTCGTTTATAATTATTTTTTAACCTGACCATAATTATTTTTTAAAGTAATGTGCTATTTTATTTAACCGTAACTATGAAAACAAATTTTTCCTTACTATAATTTTTTGTATTTAGGAACGAAAAATGAGCAGTAACGACACCACCACCCCTACAGTTAATGATACCACCACCATCATCACGACTAATAACCCAACGCCACCTAAATCAAAGCCAACGGAAACTATTATAACTAGTAAGAAAGCTTTTTATCTTTTGGTTTTACCAACTTTACTAAAGCGATATTTTTCAGAATTAAGTTTTTTTATTTCATTAACATTAGGAAAGCATGAAGAAATACGAAATGATGGAACAAGGATAATCGATACTGTAACTTGGAAAACAAAGGCTAATGATGGTTCATTGTTAGATTATAATAAATTCAAATGGTTAAACAAAAAATGAATATATTTTTTTTATTTGTATATTGCCCTTTCGGCAACAATTATTATGAAATAAAGAAGGGGTCCGCTGGGGCTCTTAATCTTTTATTTTTACACGATTTGTAAAGGCTTATCGCTGTTAATGAAAAAAATCCCATAGTTATCCCGTAGTTGCCACAGTTATTAGTATGTTATATTCTATAATATAAAAAAATCCTATAGTTGTCCCATACTTATCTTGCACTAAAATTTTAAACTATCGTTATCGTTATTACCAAATTATTATTATATTAGATGCAGAGCATCCTCACTTTGTGGGACAGAGAAAATATATATGCGACTAAAATTCAGTAATACATTAATTTTATAGACATGAACAAGATACGTATACTATCATGTATTATCCGGCACCTGTGTACCTATATTTTTTATTGTAACAATAAAGCGAATATGCGTATATTTTTTTTTATTTTTTTCTTGGCAAATTTTCAGCGAACTCGGTTCGCCAAAAACCACGTGTTTATTTTTCAAACTTTTGAACATATTCGCATCTTGTATAAAATAATGGGAAATCCGCAATCTACAATTGAGACATTGAGAGAATTAAATTCCGATCTCGTTCACCAGATCGCTGAACTTAGAAAAAAGTTCGCTGAGATCGAGGCTGAGAATATCGAGATTAAAGCTGAGAATACCAAAGTCAAGGCCGAGAATATTGAGATTAAAGTTGAAAATACGAAGTTAAAACAAACTTTGGAAGAACATGAAATCAGATTTACAAAACTGGAATGCGATGTTTCACTAATCAAGGAACAGAACTCGCAAGGCACAGACACTAATAATTCGCATGATCCAATAAATTTACAAGTACCCATTCTCCCTGAAATAAATTCTGGCAATAGCCTATCTCTGATTGATAATACCTCCACAAAGGATATTTCGTCACATATCAATGTGAGCCGGCTAAAGGCCAAGAGCCAACCTGATGAGGTGGAAGCTATTACTCCCAATTCTATACTCGGGATAGAACATAGCTCAATTCAATCCGAATCACAAATAACTTTTCCATCTATTGAAACTCACTCAGATAAAGAAATTTCAATACACTGTGAAACAAATGATTCTATAACTAGCATTACTCCTGTAACTCCCGAACAGATAGTCCCACAAAGTGAGGATGTTCCTGCATCTGTCACACCCGACATAACAAATTCTGGCGTCAGCCTATCCCCGATTGATATATACCAGAAGTCAGAGACTCGGTGCGGAGCATCACCTATTTACATGAAGCCTAAATCATTGGAGGATATAGAGATCGATGAATTCCTAGATTCAGAGGATAAGAAAAGGGTTAGTAATGAGGTTAGGCAGAGGAATAGGGAGGAAAAACTTCAGTGTGAATCACCTAGCCAGGAGGCACATTCGATTTCCCAGAATACTGCGTCTACTACTTCCCGTGAGCGGAAAAACGAACAGGGCTTGATTCGAGAAATGATTTTATCTAAAGAAGAAAAGCATGAGACTGAAATTTCAGCGAACTTGGTTCGCCCAAATAATGAGATTCCATCTATTCCAGCCATGTTCCAGTTACCACTAGATAATGGAGACATTATTAGTCTATATAAAAACGCATGTGATGCGGAAATTGGTGCAATCGAAGCCAATAGAGAAGAAATACTGCGTTGGTGTTTCTATGCTAGAGAATTCAAAAGCATGTATAATGATTTTATGGTCAGCAATAAAGTTGGGGAAAAGAAGGCAAAAGGTCAAGTATATGATTTTATCATCAAACGGATACCTGATTCCAATCGCAAAACTTTATGTAAGCAGACACAGAAAGCTTTAAGGATTGACAATTTATTCGAAAAAATAGGAATGGACAAGATTCAATACATCAAAACATATAGTGCGGATACTATTTCAAAATTTACTAATTCTCAGATTCAAACGATAATAGATCACTTCACCAAAAAGCCTGATATAGATTTCACTGATGATCAGGATAATAGTGATTCTCTAGACGAAACTGAGGTAGGTGAAAAAACTTTACCGGAAATTGAGGTAAGTAATACATCCACTCCCTCTATTCAGTCATCACATACTTCTAATTCGGTAGATGAGGTAAGTAAAAAAGACGAATCTTTACCCAAGGAAGAGGTAAGTGTATCCGATGATGAAGATTCCAACTTTGATGAGAACGTTAATGATAATGAGGATAATGATGAGAGTTTCTCTGATAATGGAAGCTTCTGTGGTTTTTCTGATGACGATGATGAAGGTTATTATTATGATTTAAATACCGGTGAAACTTATACAAAATCGAATCGTTCAATCTGCACATATTAACTTTAATAAATGTTATATAATACAATAAAACCGGAATTTGTATAAATTAGGTTAATACATATTTTTTTCTGAAAAATTACGTAGATCAAATATACGTTACAAGGCCCGATATGGGTAAACTTTATTAATTATTTAATAAGCATCATGCCTTATTGCAGAGCAGGACCGGAGGGACAACCCTAAAGGGTTATGGTTCTTCGAAGAGACAAAGTCTCGAGTCTCCGACTCACCTACAATACTACATATAAAAAAGTGCCAAACTTCGAGACCGTGTCTACTCAGTCACGGTCGAGTTACATCACCATCACGTGACACAACATTTTACCCAGAATTCTGCGGAGCAGGGCTTAAAGGCCTAAGTTTGCCTAGTATTTTTCCTAACCTGTAATGCTACATATTTGATATTTTCCAAACTTAAATTTGAAATAGATGTCGCTGAAAATGTTTTTATTCATTGGATGAATGGATGAATACTAATAATCATCATCACTAATACAGAAATGTTGTATAAAACACTTTCGATCAAAAAATGTGTAAACGTTATTATGCACACGAAACCGGCATATATATTTTTTCAATGCACACCCTACACGCACAATAAAAAATCATTTTATGCCGAATTTTTATTGATACTGCAAATAAAATAACATGACCTAACTCACTTCAAGTTTTTATTGATATTAAAAAAAACCTTGATCATATGTGGGCATTGATATCCCGTGCAATATAATAAAATAATGAAGCAGTTTATTTCAATGCTAAAAATATTACGATATAATTTTCTATTCCATTACAAATAAAAAGTAATGTTTCGAGCTAAAAGTAACCTATTTGACATCAATGTAATAATTAATTATTGGGTATCATTAGCAGATTCGTCGTTTCGAGAGGCTGTTTAGCGTTCACATCCTGAAAAGTGAAGTTATAAATTGTTAGAAATGCTAACATAAATCAGCAAAAAGGTTTGCAGGTACAGTAGTATACAAAATAAGTAGCTTCGTTTATCCTCAGTTAAGCCAACGAGTCCAACAGAGACTGAGAAATCACAATATAATCTCTCAGCCAATGTCGATTTAAACCTACCCGTTGAGCAAACTGAATTGCTCACCGAATAAGCTACGCCCCCACGCCGACTTTGGACGTGACTACGTGAGAACTTATTCCCCATACCACATTCCCATTTATATAAATATACCTGAGTTTTTGATTTCAAGTTCTGTAGATAAAACAGTTAGCTTAGTTAGCTTACAATATGAATTTATTATACAAGAAAAATTATGCTTGCAATGTCAAATACTTACGACGTCAAACATCAAATTCGCAGATTGGATAAATTTACGAATTTGCACTTGTTTTTCTTCTATTTTGATTGCTCTCCAGAGTTTTATTATATATTCGTCTTCATTCAATGCCAATCCTAGAATCTTCCGCTTATCCCCCTTTTCTATCTCCTCAGTTTCCTCGAGAATATCAAGAACGAATTCTGTAATCTTTCCCAAATTTGTATCGTCAAGTTTCCTTTTTTGTGGTGGGTGAGAGTGTTCTTTATCAGCTTTATTGATCCATCGTCGCACTAGTTCGTTATCAATATTTTCTTTGTTGGACGATGCTTCTTTGCAGTCTCCACCTAACGTCAAATATAAAAAGCTCAGTTTATGTTTTTAGATGGAGTCAAGTTATTTTCTTAAGAAAAACTTACCAAGACAAATTACAACCTCACAAGCTAGAAGAGAGATGTGCTGAAGTTCATGATCACTCCATCGACCTTTTTCGTCAACGACAATTCCGTGCGCCATTTTGTTACGCACATTTTTCTTAAAATTGCTCAATAATTCAGCGGGATTTGCTTTATATCGACCATGAAATAATGGCTTTTTTTGTTTCACAAAAAGCTTTATATTCTCTATAATAAAATTTATCATACATAGCAAATCGGCGTCCCCAAAGTCAGTACTAATAGGAGGGTGTTGTTTGACACAGAAGGATTTCACCACATCGAGGGGAATAAAACTTTCACTATCAACAAGAAATTTATAAATCGCTTTCTCAACTAAATTAAGAAGCGGTTCAACGACCGCTCCTTGTTCGCTAGCAGTAAAAGAGAATGCTTGCTTTACTGGCGGAGAGACCTCACGAGTACGTTTGTTACCATTATTGTTGTAATTGTTGATAGTCGCACTACTTGAATCTTGTTGCCCAACAACAGACGAATATAACCTAGTCTTCTTGAAAATCGCAACTGGCCTAGCTGACCTAGTCTTTTGAGAGAGTGCCTCAAACCAATTAAATATTTTTGTATGAGCCGGATTTTGACGGAAGGCTTCATCATGATACAAATTATCATGTAATGAGTCGCGTAACGAAGATCGAGAAATATTTAACGGGCAGATGCTATATAGTTTGTCTAAGGTTGACTTTAAAGTGTCTTTAATGTTTTGTTCAATAACGCCGGAGCGTAACCAAGTAGAAAGTCGTTTGTTTTTAGCCATAAAGGAAGATTAAGATCAATAAAAGCATCAATCAATAAGTAAATTGACTTTTAAACGCGACGCGTAAAGATATAAAAGAACTTGATGTTACACGTACGACTATGGTGTAACTTTTGTATTAGCGGGCGCATTACCAAAATGGATATCGATTCTGGAACGTTCTATTGGAAATCCTTGAGCGATGATTGGCTTATAATCACGATTTCAAAATAAAGGAAGAATATGTAGCATGGGCTAATTGAGCGACAGTACTAATGCGAATTCAGAAAAATGAAGGGGCACTTGCCCCGTCTCACAAATAAGTTATGTATAACGATAAGCCTTGTAAGGTTATACAGAATATCTTTGTTACGTGGATAAATTATGAAAATTATGTATAACGATAAAGTTTGTTACGTACCAAATTGTTAACCTTTATTTAACGTTAATTATTTGAGAATTATCGCATTCACATCGCCTATATATTCCATCTGCTACTTTTTTGCAGGTTTTGCAATATAGGTGTGAATGATGATTGCATTCGTCACAAACCTTACACCCGTGCTTCCATCCTCTAAAGATATGCCACTTTTCTATGTAATTTTGTTTATCTTTACGTATGTTATTCAGATTTTTCATTGTTATATATAAACAGAAAAAAATATAACGTGGCTAAATTTTTTATTATGTGTCTTATTATAAAATAATGACTCTTTGAGTCTAGACACTAGCTCCGCTATACAAACCTGTAATATGTGGCAATTGCGTCCTCGCCTATAAATAAATTATGCATAAGCCAGGATTATTATTTATA